CTTGAGCCCAGGAGTTGGAGGTTGCTGTGAGCTGTGATGCCACGGCACTCTACCCAGGGGGACAGCTTGAGGCTTTGTCTCAAAAAAAAAAAAAGACCTGAGACCTCTGTCCACACTCTCATAGGCTGGTCTGTGCTGCTGTGAGTCTCACATTGTGGGGACCAGCCCCTCCTCTCTGAGTTTGTCCGATTTCATGACATTTGCTTCCTCAACAACTTCACCTTTTAAGCATTTTGCAAGGCATTTACTTATTCTTTAGTGAAAGCAAATAGAAAAAAGACTAGTGGCTAACCATTTAACATGACACCCTGAGCACATGAAACCCTGTGCGCTGACAGTAAGGCAGAAGTTTCTATGGCAGGGAACAGGTGTCAGTGACATTCTGGGAGATGGCAGGACTGAGTGCCTGAGTGCAAGTTAAGACCACTCCAATTTGGTGCCCCTGAGGCAAGGAGGCTGTTTTGAGCCACAGAACCCCAGCAACTATCCTGAAGCAGAAGCCCCAGCTGCCTCTGACCACAGGGCCAGGCAGGAGGCGGCAACTGTAAAAACTCATATAGAGGCCTGACCTCTACAGGACCCCACTCAAGCAGAGGACTGGAGTCTCTGCAGGCACAACTGAGGGGGCAGCCAGGTCCTTCCTGACAACAGGGGTGGGTGAGGCTCTTCATTCTGAAGTCAGTCTCTGTCCCCACCCCCTGCCTCTACTATCCAGGTTGCAGCCAGGTCTGCAGGACACTTCCCTTTCCCGCCTACAGCTGGCAGCCAATCAGAAGACTGTTCTGGGGGAAAAGATATCTAGAGGCACTGATAATAAGAGATTCTCTCAGGAAGATGGCCGAGTCCCTGTCTGATCACACAGTCCCTGCAAATGTGCCCCTCCACCTCCCACAACCCCCATTTGGCTGTCAGTGCCTCAGTCTGAGCTATAAACTAACAGTCAAGCTCCCCTGATGCGGAGGGGCAAAAGGCACAGAAGTCAAGCAGAAGGTAGGCCCCTGGGGCCGACAACAATGATGCCAGGACAGATGACAATGGAGACAGCAGCAGTAGCAGTTGACATCTTCAGGAATATGAGGAAGATTTTACATTCATGAAACGTAACAGTTGACCATTTTAAAATAATTTTCATAAAACAAATTAAATTATTAGAAATTAAAAATGTAACAGTCACAGCAAAAACATCAGTTGAAGGGTTGGAAGATGTAATTGAAGAAATTTTCCAGAAAATAGGAAACAAAAGGTATGAAAAAATTAAGGGACTGGTTCAGGAGGCACCAAGTTTGCCTGATGACTTGAAGGACATTCGCTGCCACATTGAAAAAGACCCTCAACTGTGCAGTGCAGGAAATCTCACAAACTAGGATGTATCATTGTGAAATTTGATAGCATCAGAGATTGAAATGCATCCGAGACCATCAGAGAGATTCTAAAACCTTCTTGAGAACAAGCAGGTTACCCAGAAAACTTTACTTGTGAGGAAGTGGGGCACGTGGCACAAGCTATGCTGGGACGTGAAGGGAGTGAAATCAGGGAGGACAGCAGAGGGAGAGCTCCAGGAATCTGTCCCTCTGCTAAATACCTTCAAGGCTGGCAGTGATGTCTGGAGCAGCCACAGAGAGCCTCCACAGCCGAGCCCATCTCTACACTGACCATATCCCTGCACTGACACCTCTCTACACTGACCCCAGCCCTACACTGACCACCTCCCTACACTGACCATCTCCCTACACTGACCACCTCCATGCACTGACCACCTCCCTGCACTGATCACCTCCCTGCACTGATCACCTCCCTACACTGCCCGCCTCGCTACACTGACCACCTCCCTGCCCTGACCATGTGCCTATACTGACCACTTCCCTGCACTGATCACTTCCCTGAACTGATCACTTCCCTGCACTGATCACCTCCCTACACTGCCCGCCTCGCTACACTGACCACCTCCATGCACTGACCACATCCCTACACTGACAACTTCCCTACACTGACCACCTCCATGCACTGACCACATCCCTACACTGACCACCTCCCTACACTGACCACCTCCCTACACTGACCACCTCCCTGCACTGACCACGTCCCTACACTGACCACCTCCCTGTACTGATCACCTCCCTACACTGATCACCTCCCTACACTGCCCACCTCGCTACACTGACCACCTCCCTGCACTGATCACCTCCCTGCACTGCCCACCTCGCTACACTGCCCACCTCGCTACACTGACCACCTCCCTACACTGCCCACCTCGCTACACTGCCCACCTCGCTACACTGACCACCTCCCTATACATTGACCTAA